CATAGTAACCCTTCTTTTTTCGGCCAAAGCTGTTTTCTGACCACGCCCCAGCTAACTAGAACGAAAAAAGCCGATAAAAAAACTTTTTCCAAAAAGTGGTTGGATACCCATGGATTCGCCCACATACATCTCGATGTTATAATGTAAATTTTCTTATATTTCTCATCGAATTATTTTATTAAGTGGATATTGAACAATCCATGAAAATTTTATTTTTTGTTGTTTATCATTAATAATGATAAATAATCTGGCTCAACTACACGAAATTCGATTACATTTATCAAGTACTTCATTATAAAAAGAAATTGTAAAAATTAAAGCAAGAAAGTTACGAAATATAATGAAGCATTAGCAGAAGATGATGAGATACTATATGATCTATGATATTAGTCAAAAATATAAAATTTACTGTTAAAATGTCCGTAAAATACGGACATTTTAATTCAACTCGCTATTGTGGCATTTTTTAAATGTTTGTGCCACTTTTTATTAAATATTTTCTTATCGGCTGCCGGTTAAAAACAAAAAGAAGAGTCAAGTTCGCATTTGAAGTCAGATCTTCCTTTTCACGTTTGTTTTTAAGAAAACATCATTCTGTTTTAAAACAAACGCAAATAATTGAAAAGAAGAAAAGTTGCATTTAATCGCAAACATGAGTAAGTCAGAATTTACTACTTAATTTTTGCTAGTAAGAAATAAAAAATTGCGCTTTTCTCTGAGATGATTCATCCCACTATAGAAACATTTTAAATATTTGGTTCCGTTTAAATGCAAACTTTTACTTTTTTAAAAGTGTTTAAGTTTGAGTAACATAAACATTTGAAAAATACTACAATGAATGGAAATATAGAACGGAAATTAAACTTCAAATCCTTCAATGAAAAACGATATTTGAGTCATTCGATAGAGACTATACTTACGTACTATCTGATATAAACATCGTCTGTAAAAATTAAAGTTTAAGACCTCTTCCTCGATACATATACACGAAAGTTCATGTTTCTAATATTCTGTACAATATTTAAAAGAGATTTTACGGCAGATCTCAGAAGCATTGCAACTAAAGTGAAACTGTTAAAGAGAAGAGTAAAATGCAATATCGCTTCTAATTCCTTGGTATAATTTCGCATTCATAAGGGACTCGGTTGTATATTTCGTCTGGCTTATTGTTATAGCTTAACGGTCTTCATATTGAGAATAATATATATTTCTTCTTGTTTAGAACTAAAGGTTTTACATTGACAAACGGAAAAAAAAGATATTAAGAGAAAAAGATCATTATACTGAGTTTGTTATTTTAAAAGTTTTGTTTTTCTTGTGATGTTGCTGCTGCTACTAGTTTACATGTACAAAATGGTAATATACATCGATGTTGTGCTTCTAATAATCTACCACCACGAGATTGTGTCGTTGTTCCTGCTCTTGATATCAATGGTGCTGATATTGATATGAGATTTGCTGCAGCGGCATGATGTGGATATGCATGATGATGATGATAATAGATCGGTGGATAGGGTGCAAATAATTGACGTGGTGTTATATAAGATGATGATGATAGAATCGGACTGAAAGCGGATTTTGTTGTCATTGTATCAGTTGAAGAAGAAATTGAACAAGCTACTAAATTTGTTGTTGCTGTTGGGATAGTGGTGGAAGCTATTGAACAAACTGTTTGATAAATACGTTTAACAGTTTCTTGCATATTATTTTCACATTCGACAAGTATATTTTCTAATAATGTGCGGGAAGCATTTGGAAATATTTGAGAAAGAGTTGCTAAATTTTCTTGTTTTGTTGCTGTTGATGAACTAGGAGATACGGCGGATGTTTTTATATTTGCTGAATTTGTCGATTGTGCTGTAATACTATCATCATCCAATGATTCAGTTGAACTTGTAGATCTTCGCTTTTTATGACGGTCTGATGATGCATCATCACCTTTATCATCGCCTGAGCCGCTGTTAACAGCGACGTCGGAGACATTGATAGTTGTTTTTTCACTATCTAAAATTATAACAAGTATACTAATATTCAGCTGATTTGTGGAGAAAACTAGTGTAATTGAGAAGTATAAAACCTCAATATATAGTGTAATCTTTGATTAATCTTGCACTGTATAAGATTTGCTCATTCATTCAATATTCCAAATTCAGACAACTATATCGTGTACTACATACTGTGCAATCGAGTAAACGAAACTTTTATTCAGATTTTTTATTATATTGCACTCTGTCAATCAGTTAAAAGAAGGAAGCTTACCTTGATTTGAATCATTACTAGAATTTGGATCTTTATTCAAATCAACATCAGCATTTAATGAGCGTTTTAATGCCAAAATAGTTTCCGGTGGTGTACCGTAAATCGCGCTCAATTCACGTGCGTCACTTTCTTCTTGTGCTTGTTGTCGTCTTAGAGCAACCTGCGTATAGACATTATAGAAATATAGAGAGAAAAAAACACTTTAATTATCATTACCTGTGCAGCCATAACCCGTTGTCTTTCGGCAATTAGTGTACATTTAGCACAAACACAATCTTTCCAACTACAATAACGTTTATGACCTTTTAATGCTGATACAACACCATGATTTCTACATCGTGCACACTTGGGTGTTCTTTGATATCTTTCAGTGGCACGTAACAATAATGCATGAGGTAAATAACGAGGAAATACGGATGATGAATTTCTTGTTGTTGATGATTGTGTTTGAGATTGTGATGGTGAAGATGTCGAAGAAGACAATGGCATTGTAGACGAATTTGTTTCACTACTAGTCATTAACACCACAACTATAGTTTGTTTCTTGGTGAAGATAATAACACACAAAAACAATTTTGTTACAAAAAATGGTTAGTGAAAGAAAAAGTTAATCTTATAAAAGATTAGTTGATATTGTAAAAATATATGTAGGAGAAGAAGAGAAAAAAAATGAGAATTGGTTAAAGTCAATAGACGAATACAATAGAAGATATATATCATAGTTTTTTCTCATTTTCAATACATAAAAATATCAGGATTTGTTTAATATTCCGTTACCATATAATCAGACATAAACTGATTGATACAACCGTTGCATGGAGAGGGAGAGAACAGAACAGAAAAAAAAATAGAACTGTTGATATTTCTTTTTATTAAAAAGAAAAAAGAAATATTTAATGTCTCAAATTGAGACTTAGTTACATTTATAGCCAATCAGATACTTTCAAAGAAACAGAACTGATTGGTTACATTTAGTATTGGTAAAAAAGACTAAGTTATTAATTACAAGGGACACTGTCAGTTAAGAAAAATTTATGACTTAAAGACTTTGAAAGATATGCGCAATTATATACTTAATGTTTCTTTAAGCTTTGGATTTTGTTCTATGTAAAATTCATCATCAAGCGTTACAATCACATTTTCACACATACTCAGTAACACGTTAGTGTAAAAAAAACGATCAAAAATCTGAGGTTCGTTTTAACTTTGTTTTGTGAAGGATTTAGCTTTTTGTGTGATAGTATATCAACAACTTTGTTAGAAAATATGATTAATGTCTCAGCCAAAAATAACTATAAAAAAATTGTCTATTCGAAGTCAGTTTCGGAACTCTGTTTATTCAACCGCGTCACTGTCCCGCGTCATGACTATTGAGGTATCATGCCTCAAACGCACCATAAAAGTAAAAAATGAGATGACATATTTTCGAAAATTTTTTTGTTATCAGGCCAGAGAAGTGAAAAAATTGACAGTTGAACTAGAGAGAGTTAAAGTTAACGGTTGCAGAAGGGCATTTTGGGGATAAATAAGCAGAGGTTTCTGTTAAGATTTGAAAGTGGAACTCTATGAGTTTTAGACGTGGGATATTTTAATCGCCGTCGAGTACTTCTGTGGTACATGTGCAGCAGAGCATAAAAGGCACAACAAGCGGAAATAAATGGAATTTTACAACAGGTACAAAACGACAGGTGGAATTTTATGCCTCAAATCCTTAGATGGGGATAGACGCCGCTGAGTATATTAAACTAGTGACATAGTCAGAAATTTGGTAGTGAGGCGGATTTAGTCTCACTTCAAAGAGCCCATCAATAAAAATGTGATCTTTCTCGAAAACTTGAAAAACTCCGACAGATTCAATACATAACTCGAAAACTTTTAGTGATGAGACTAAAATATTTAGTCTATAACCATTTCGTGTCTATACACTCTCAAGAAAAACTTATAGTTTATTTAAAATCTAAAAACAAAACCTATGAAGAATTAGGTGTTATGCGAATGTTACAACGAAAAAATTTTCTTTATGTTACTATAAGCCAGTTGAGGGGAAAGTCAAAACTAATCCGTGTGAGAGAAACTATGTCTTCTACTCCAGTGATAACTAGTTTCAAAGTATGTTGTATGGTTATTAAAACGTGATATTTAGGTAGATTTCAAAGTGCAAATCAAAAATTTTTAGAGCGAGTCTAAGAAACGAATGTATGTTTTACGATAACGGTAAAAATACATACGTTGATAAATTCATCAACTAACATTCAATAGTTTTAGATCATCTCTACATACTAGCATCATCAAAAATAGAAATAGCAAGTAATTTTTCAGTTAGTTTTCTACAGTCTTTCAGATCGTTATTTAATTAGTGAAGATCTTTCCTTATATCACTCAACTGGTCTATCACGTAATTGAAAAATTTTATGAAAAGATACATTTTAATGTCAGAGATATTTTGACAGCGATAATTATTTGAATATTACTTTTTGAAGATCAGAACCAGAAGAAATTTCCTGATGTTGTAACAGGTGCATGACATCTACTCAGTTGTAGATTAGTGCTTATATTTTTAAATAAACCAAAAGTTTTTCTTGAAAACTCATAGACACGAAATACGAAATGTGTCCTTTTCCAGCATCACTTTTAAACAAGTTTAATATATAGGCTTCATTAATCATCTCTGTTTTACAATATTTTTTATGCTTTTTGGCCATTTGTTTGCCAAGATTGTCTATAATAGTGAAATTTACTATCACACTGTGTATGATGAGAACATTGTGTGTTGAGCATTATTATTCTCTTATACTTATTTTTTCAATGTCTATGTACTAATAAAGCTCACCACCTTACTACTGTTCTATAGTTTAAACAGTCTATTATACTAAATGAACGTATCAAATTTATATTTTTATACAAACATGATTTTAGAAATCAGAACAATTGACTCAGTTTAGAGTGTTTAACAATTTACTCTCTGTTTTGAAAGATAACACGATCAATACCATCTAGTAATATGTTTTAAAATAATATGATGAGTTTCATACATGTTTTTTTTAATGTAGGATCAATCAAACTAACGGAAATTTTTCGAAAAGAAGAAAATTGATATTTATCATGATGCCTTTCTTACGCTTTCAGTAAGAAGAGTAGAGCTTTGCTAATGTTATCCATTCCATAGTAGGGATCTCTACTGAAGTTCTAAAGCACATTTCATTTTCTTACACTCAAAGTTCCTCATAATTTAGTTATTCTATGCTCTTGCACACGATCACTGAAACGTGGACAAAAACTCTTGTAAGTATATAATGATTTCTAAGAACCAAAATTGTATTCAAAATCAAAAATGTTAACATTCTCTATAAGAGGTAAGTTACATCCAATTGATACACGTATCTGTATATTCTTTAATCACTGGGAAAGACGAGTATAGTTGAATTGAGTGGTCAATTGTCTATGTAATTTAATTGAGTGCATTGTCATTTCACAGTTTGTTATGTTGTTGACAGTGAAACGCTTGTCATCAACTCATCATTTTTTTGCGTTCCCCCCTACCTATTTTCAACAAGGCATGTATCATATTCTTTTTATTCTGTGTCATTTTCACTTCTTGATGTAATATCGCAATGTATGATGAAGTTAAAGTATTATTTGTATAGGTGTACAGTATAAGTATGAATGTATATTTGATTTCAAATTTTTTTTGTTTTGTCGTATATACATTTTGATCAACGTATCCATCACTTGAATATAAAACAGAGAAAGAGAACGTATTTCTTTTTTTCACACAAATTAAAGATCAAAATATACAGAGACGACTGATTCTCTTTTTCACTTCTGTTCCTTTTTTTAACTTATCAAAGAGTTAATTCAAGAGTTTAACCAATCTCATATTACTTACAGATTAAAACTTTAGGCACTTGCTCGAACAAAAAAGTGAAAGTAAAGAGTAATATTTGCAAATAGAAGAGAGAGAGAGACAGAGAGAAAAAGAAAGAGAGAGACCTATTAATGAAGTATTATTCTTGTTCTACATTTAAGAACAAAGAAATCGCTACTACCTGTACACTAATGTAATTAACACTCATAATCATCATTATTCTAATCTATTTGTGTATGTGTGTGTGTACTGTGCTAGTAAAAGTAAGAGAGGGAACTTGATTACTATATACAGTCAAAGAAAACTTATCTGCTATCAAAAGAAATTGAAAAATCGTCAATATTGCACTAATCCGTGAAAAACATCTGTCTAGTTTTTATGTTCAAACGTTCGTGATATGCTTGTTCTTAGGTCACTCAGCTAACAATCGGAAGAAATATTTGTATTTCCGTCATAAAAGACAAGACTATTTCACGTTTCAAATGTGAAGAGGGACCGAATTCTCTGATAATGTCTTAAATCGACTTAGAACATAAGTAGTTTGTACATTTTATTTAATACGACTATTAGGTTTTTTAACATTTTCTAGTGCCATGATCATTCTAAGAAATGTATTTATTTTTAACTAATACAAAAAGTTAAAAAGCGCTAATAAAGATACAGAATGTTTTACGTAGAACATTAACCTTATAATTAATTGATACATTGTAATTGAGCCATTCTTCTTGCAAAATGTAACAGGCACACACATTAATTAACTTGTAAAGATTAATCAAATAAATCGGACTCGCTCTACGACACTATTGATTTCTTACTGAAGCATTTCCCGACTTGTGGTCTTTGATTAGTTATTTTTTTGCTTTTATTCATTTAATTATATACATCTTATTGTGTACGTATAACTTTTTATCTATAGGTATGCTCGTATTATTCAAGTCGACTGATTGAAACAAATAGAACCTTACTGCATTTCACTAGAAAAATCTTTCTTTATCTTCTTTGTTACTCTTTTTCCTGTGTTGTTGAGTCAGTTACTCTTTCTTATTAAAACTTTGATCCTACAAACTTGGGAAAAAAAGATCTTCATATGTGTTGATATACATTCGATATAGAATGTGAATACCGTTTAGATAACCATCTAGAGTTTTCTTTGTGTTCTAGTGCTCTCTCTAAATACCGTTTCACTCAATCGACTCTGCTATCTTTGTGTAGCCTAGTTAAATTCTAGTTAAATTTATGATATTCTTGTTTATTAAAAACAGGAATCAAAGACATGTGATATGCTTATTTAAACAACCACCACTACCATATCGTTACTATTACGATCAATTTTTACTTATTTGATTCTGTTTGAAGTTTGTAACGATTATGATATAAGTTTTTTGAGAATTCAACCCTCATATCCTCATATTAATTGTTTCCATCATAATATACACAGTCATCATTCCCATGATTTACAAAATAAAAAATCAGAATATATGGACCACTCAGTAGAATAAACTAAAACAATCTTTTTGTTATGGTGTATATTTGCATAATAAACATAGAAGTGTGTAGTTACCATATAAACAAAATTATGGTTATAAAAACAATAGTTAAATGTACTATTTGTAAAGAGAGAGAG